CGGTATTTAGTTGTTTTGTAATCTAGTGTATATAATTTTGCAGATGTATCGGACCATCAAATCTACTGAAAAACCTACTACATCATCAGGTTTTTTTATTAATTATGTATTGCCTTAACTAACTAACTAAATGATCTTTATCAAAAAAAAAACTAACTAAAATGATATGTTATAGAATACTAAAATATTTGATTAAGCTGTGTATGCATATATATTAGGTCAGTCAGATAGTTGTGAGAATGGATCACATGCAAACAAGGAGAGACAAAGGGATCTCCAAGGTCTATGGAACAACTCCTCAAGGTATGTTATGTTTTAATGTTTGCTTAGTTTGATTTATAATTGTTTTATTATATGGTTAGTTTGGTCGGACAGAAGCTAAATACTTATTAGGAAACTTTCTATATTTGCTTTATATGAGAAACTTGATATTATGTTGTTAGTTTAGTCCAAAATCATTAACTTACATTTTTTCTTTAAAATAAAAATAAATCAATATGATAAAATTGGGATGATGTCTGTATACAGAGAAGCTCGGTTCCATTTAAAGGCAGAGGCATCAAGTGTAGACATTTCATCGAATGAGGTATCAAATTTTCAAAATTTTACCCAAAAGAAAATGAGACTGCTAAATTCGAGGGTGAAAAAAGTAAAAGAAAAAGTTTATATAAAGGAGTATATTCACTTTTTCTCTTCCATTTGGGTAATTGAAAAGTATTTTTTCATGTCTCAAAAGCAGAGAAAAGAAAGACTTTTCGGGAGATAGAATATACTATAATATTTTTTTTTTTCTTTAACCCATTTCAAAAGATTTTTAGAGTCAATTTACAAAATGCAATAATTTATCAGGTGGAATTTATGTGAATAGTTTTTTTCAAATAATACAATGTTACTTAAACTTCAAATGTTACGGTAAACATAAGTTTTTGTAACATCTTATTTTTATAACATATTATTTTATCAGGTGGACGTTTAATTTATAACATGACGTCTGTATAATGTTATATCACCATCTACTTAATTGTCTCTACATTTTTGCATTGTCACCTACTAAATACTCAAGATTTTAATGTCTTTAAACATCTACAATGTTAATTGGACCTTTTCAATAAGAAGTCAGACGGAAAATAGTAAAAATGCAATATAATATGATATGATTCTTATACTAATAATTTTGTAATCTAAAATGTTTACAGAATATGGCTCGAAGATGTCCAAGCTACGAACGATTGTCGTCGGAATCGTCAAGCCTCACAGGGACAAGACTAGAGACTGAAACTCCCAATCTCGACTTCACTTTAGCCACACCAAATCTTCCTTCATAATTTACTATATACACCAAACAAAATTTATATGTCAAAATTATATAAATCTCAAACTTTAAAGTTATGCTTACGGTATGCAAATATATATATAAAATGACGTTTATTTATTTGTTATTTTATCTGTGAAATTGAGATTCTTTATTTCTTAGGTCGTCAATTTGAGGTGCTTATAAATATGGAGACTTCTTGTCGCCAAAAAATGTGGAATAAAATTATTTGGTCATCATTACAGCGATGCAAGACTACGATCGCTCCACGTGTCCTGACTGGACTGCTTTATTAGTAAACACATGGTTGTCTGACACGTGTCGGTCCCTTGTGACGTTGACGCTACTATAAGACTTTCACACTATTTTTCCTTGCCAATATTGCATAGGGTCTATTGGTTGAATAACCAAAAAAAATATCATCTAATAATCTAACTAAAATCCCTAAATTTAGTAATTAATATTTTAATCATATGAGTGCTTTTTTTTAGATTATTAGATATGTTTTTGTTTATAGTCATTCATGCCAATTTCCTATTCCAATAAAACGAATTACAATCCATTAATCCAACCACAATTTCAAATGCTAAAATAAACTAATAATTGGAATTTTTTAGGTAACTATAATAAGAGCTTAAATACATGAACATTACGTTTAATAAATAAAAACATACTCTTAGATATAAATAAACCGTATTTTTAACCAAGTAGTAAGGATTAGCGGTTTGAGATATAATGCAAGATAACTACTAAACTTAAATATGTATTCTCTAGTAAGATCTTCCCATACATACAACATTTTTTAAAATTCTAGGAGAAAAATTACTTAACAAAACTGAAAAACGTTACACTGATGTATTTAAAATACATTATTCAAAAAGATGATAAGAAAATCAAACTCAATTTTATTCTTCTGTTTATGTTATTTATACGTTAAGTTTGTTGAAGTGATCGCATCTGCGTCTCACTTCTCCATTTTTCTCATCTTTAACACCGACTGTGCCAAGTTTCTCCATGGCACGTGCGAAATCATCGAAGAAAACCTTTTGATCATTCGCATATATCTCTACAATCGGTCTCGTGCTAATGTCTTTAAACAAGATGTGGTCAGAAGCTAACAGTCCAAGCCCTCGTTTCAAGTTCTTAAAATACATATTATCGAATTTTCCGGGCGTCACAGGATCAAGAAACGCAGCCATTGTCTTATTCCTCGTGTAATCCTTGCATAGATCTTTAAGAACGCCTGCGAATCGTGCATCGAGCTCTGGATCAGGTCGTGGTCCGAAGATCCGGTTGCTGAATTCTTTGCAGTGAGAAAATCCAACCGTGTGCGCGCCACTTAGTGCAACCATCTCCCTTAAAGTGAAACCATTCTTTTGGAATATAGATAACATGTCGTGGACCGTTTGGTTTGCTAATGGTAAGTTTCCTCGAACTTTATGGGCTCTCGACTCAAACCCATCTTTACGGCCCAACTTGACTTCATAGAAAGGCCCACCAATCATTGTGACAAGGTCACGCGTCGATTGAGCCAAGATGTCTGCGCAAGATACCACACCGGGACAAGCCAACTCAAGAGCGGTTTTGACGCGAGTCACGATGTCAAAAGCGTCTCCCGGAAGCGACTCGTTGAGTTCATCGTCTCGTTCAGCTTTGTTGAAAGAATTTGTTGCGACTAGGACGGATGCATCACATCCTTCCATGAAACAATCGTGAAAAAAGAGACGGAGCGTCCCAGCAGCTGTTGTCGGCTGTTGAGTTTGCTTAGTCGTAACGGTTTCACGAACGATTTTACTGAAATCCGGACATGTTTTTTTGTAATAATCTATGTTTAAATGTGTTATCTCCGCGATAATATGGTCGGGATAAAGATTAGGACGAGGACGAGAATGTGAAGAAACGATGACATTGTGGATTTCATGAGACGAAAATATGGATTTACTATAATGATTAGGTTTTGAAAAAAAACGTATGGAGAGAATGGAATCTAAATCAAGAGATGTTTAAAATGTAGACCTCTCTAATGGATTGTTAATGTCGGGTCATGTACGTGTGGTTGGAGTTTGGCTTTTTCTTCCTATTTTTGTAATTGGTCTACATTTAGTATATTTCTATGTTAATTTGATGTTTTTATTACAAACCTTTTTAAACCATTAATTCATATCGTTCGGTTTTTGTGCTTAAACATAAATACGAAATGCTAATCTCTCCGTCGTTGGTCGAG